TTCTTCATGGATTTCAGGTAGTAGTTTCTGGTTGGTCAGTTAGTGTCACTCTAAGGGTCATGGGAATGTAGTTATTGGGTCAAACATATAAATAATATAGGTGTTAATACTCTATTGGACTGTTTAGCCTTAAAAGACCTTGTAGCAGTTACCTCTGTAGCCATTTTCCTTGCTTCTAGCAAGGAGCTGGAAGTGCTGTTGAATTCTCTGTACTTTCTGATAAGATACAATAAGCAACCAAGCCCAAACATGAGAAAAACTGTTTCAACCGTGTTTCTGTTAATCCTGGCTCTAAGAAGAAGACAGACGAGACTGATAGACAAACCACTAATTAGGTGGTGCAAAGCCCCTGCACCACTGCCCACACTGGACTGAATATGTGTCAGCGCAGATCTACGTGAAATGTACTGTCTGAGCGGAAATAGCAATGGTAAACAATAAACTCAGCTTCCTGGCAGTGGTGTTGGGCATCCTCTCTGCCAACAGGCAAGGAGGAGGTTGTGCTTGTCCACCACTTCCATGGCCAGAGTGGCTAAGGAGAAGCCAGAATGTTCCTTTGCAAAACCAATGTTTAGTTTCATGCCTACATTCATATCCTTCCTCTTATTATAAAATGTTGACCTGTTTCTTGGAAGTGAGCAACTGTGATACAATAGTGACTCATGTTTCCATGTCTTTAGTTGCATTATATGGAAAGGAAAATCCAAGTCTAATTGCTACACAATTGCACGAGGTAAGTTTCACAGACCCCAACAGCTCCAGAACAAGGCCCAAGCAGCAACAATATGGTAATTTTAGCAGGCTCACTGTCAGGGAATTGGCAGTACAACTTCTGGACTCAATGTGCATGAGGATCTGGGCATGAAATGCTGCTGAGTCACTAACATATTTATGCAGCACTTCCAGTGTGCCTGGGCTCAGCCAGCCAACACTGCTGCTGCAACCCCCTAAAACTACAGCTGTGGAGAAAGCCCCCTAGACCAGTGCTCATGGACTGGTTTTCTGGCAGCAAGGGAGGGCCACAGAAAGTGGTTTCTTTGAGAAGCTACTAGAAGCATCCACCATGTCCGACAGAGCCAATCTCTGATGGCTCTGAAGATGGAAATGCTGCTGACCCAGAGAGGGTTGGTAATGCCTCTATGATGACCTATTTAAGAAGAAAATCAAAACAGTGCACGCACAGTTTGGTTTTTTTTCAGAGGTCGTGAGGCACCACCAACGGGGCCATCTCAGCGCAGCGCGCAACGTGCGGCTTCCACCGCCATCTCGGCGCAGCCTGCAGTGAGCCTTTCCTGCCTGGCCACCCCTAGCCAGCCATGCCGCCGACAGAAGGGCAGAGGCGGCAGCTTCCCCTTCCCAGTGCCCCACCTAAAGAATGGCGTTAAATAGCACCAGTGCTGCGGCAGCCGCCACTGCCTGGAAGGTGGCGGGAGGGCCGCACAGACAACGGCAAAAACATGGTGAATGACTCTCCGGCACAGAACCTAGACAAGATCAACCTCTCAGCGCAAACCTGCACCAATCTTTGAATTAGTGGAACATGTTGGCAATAGTACAGGCAACAGTTTTTCTTCTGAGGAGGAAGTGAGGACATGTAAGGGAGAAAAACATGGCGACACCAAGGTCAGTGGAAAAAGGGGGAGGAGATGCTCCAGGCACTAGAGCCAAGATTGCGCTGCAGGCGTGGTGAGGACTATGGTAAAGCAGGCTGTCCCCTTGCAGCCCATGAAGTCCATGGGGGATGCAGAGATCCACTCACAGCCTCTGGGAGAAGTGCTCACGCTGGAATGGGTGAACGCCAGAGAAAGATGTGATCCAGTGGGAGACCCGAATGGAGAGAGAGTACCCCTGCTTCCAGAGATAGAAAGAGGGCCCTTGCTTTCCAACTAGAGCAGCCTATTCTTAAGAAGACTGCACCCCATGGACAAGTGACCCACATCACAGCAGTTTTGGGAAAATTGTTTACCCGTGGGAGGGACTCATGTTGCAGCAGTTTTGGCAAGACTAATCTCATGAGCAGCAGAGACACACTAGAGAAATTCACAGAGAACTGGCTCCCGTGGGAGGTGCCCCACAGTGTAGCAGAGGAGATACTCCTTTCCATGAGTGAACAGATGTTCTCGAGTGAGGAACTGACCAAAACTCCCACGCCCTGTCTCCCTGCGCTGTCGATGGAAGGAGGGAGGGCCCGCGGGGAAAAAAGTGTTTTAAAGGCTTATTTTACTTCTCATTATCCTTCTCTCTGTTAATAATAAATTTACTTTATACCTTTACATTTGAACCTATTTTGCCCTTAAGAGTTGTTTTCTCCCAGTCTTCATCTCAACTCATGAGCCCTTCATTAATTTTTGAATTTTTCTTGCTAAGATCAAGAGAAGGTGAGTGATCGTCTTTCATGGACACCTGGCGTTTGCCCAGTGTCAAACCACGACACACGGCCGCTGTTTCCATCTGGTAGAGCAGCGTAGCTGCAGTGCTGGCCGCTGGCCTCCACTGTCTCCACAGCCTGCAGACTAAGAGTGCTTCAACGAAACCTGCAGGCAATACCTGTAACTTACAGCCTCACCTATTCAAGGATCCTGACTGTAGAAGCACTCAAATACCTGACATTCACACTATTTAGATGAATCACACTCAGTTACTCAAGAATCAGTACTTTAATTTCTTGACCTTCCCAAGAAACACTTGGCATGCTGAAAATAGCAATGAGGAGCAGAAATAGTTTTACTCTGTGGCAGGGATTTCTCTCCGCTTTAATTTTTGAAGGATTTGTATTAGGGTTTCAATCTGAGGTCAAAATTGCACATTTGCATCATTTCTTTATGGTTAAAACTGGTAGAAATGCAACCAATGCACTTCATACTCTAGAGATTATTTGAGGAAAGCACTGAAGAAAGACACTTAGGAAAATACTGCAACAGTCAAGCACTCCACCCATTAGAACGTTGTGACCTATTATGATACCAAGAGAAAAAAACGAAGTGTTCTCTGTGATGCTCACTGAGACTACTTGGTTAAGTTTGTTTCCTCAAATCCAAGACTCTCTTAACACATTTGAACAGCTTGCTTAAATAAGGTACAGTACAGGAATTGCATGTGCCTCTAATTAAGATTTGAACACTCAAATCAACATTCAGAAATGCAACACTTCTCCAAAACAAGTCACCAGGATGTAAATAAATCAACACAGACTCTACTTCTGCAACTCTGCTTCCCAGGAATAAAAACTTCCCACGGGGCCCATTTCCCTGACACCAAAACTCACAGAAATATTTTACTGGTGAACTCCACAAAATAGTTTTAATCAGGAGATTAATATGAAACCTCAGGACTACATTTCTCCGACCATTAACACTGAATTTCTATTCCTTCAGGAACGGCCAGGCTTTAATGTTGACAGGAAAAGGAATCTCAGAAGGAAAATCCACTCCAGACACAGGTTCATGACTACAACAGCACTGTACAGCACTACTGAAAGAGCATACTCATGAGAACACAGACTTTACAGCCTTGAGATTAAGATTACCTCAAATGTGTATTTGACAAAAATAAAGAAATATTCAGTGTCATATTCTAATAATACAGAAGTTATTTTGCTTTGGATAAAATGTATTTGATAATTTACTGTTAAAACAACTTTCCATATGCATTAGTACTCAGCAAAGTAAAAAAAAATCAAGTGTCTTTACACTCAAGACAGACAGAAAAGACAAACTGACACATTTGACAGCAACTTCTTTCAAGTAGAGGTCTCTTGGACCACAGTGCCCTTACTCCAACACTCCACCTTTCTCTACCTGTGCCTCCTTCTTTACATTTTATGCCTTCTGCCCAAATCCAGACCAGTTGGCCAAGACCTCAGCCTCTGAAAGCCGCACAGAGACTATGCAAAAAACATGTTTTAACCAGTTGTACCAACCACCCTTTAAAAAATAAAACAAATAGAACTTTTCCTGCTCTGATCATCTGAAGAATCCTTAACAATCCAGGCTAAAATGTGAGCTTCTTAACAAGGCCTTTCATGTAGTCCCGAGGTAGTTTCTGTCCCAGGACATTCAGAGCTCAATCTTATTAGGCCACAGTTACACTAATGGACTGGGTTTAGTACAAAATTGCCCCCTGCTGCCCCACTCTTTGGGTTTTGCTTTGTATTTACATGCGTGCTAATAAATCCAAGCTATTAAAGGAAACCAACATGACAGCCATTAATGCAACCATGCCAAACAAGAAGACAAGTGCCATGGGTAAGGAGGGTAAGATCTCTCTTTGTCTCATCCTTCCCTCCCTTCTTGTTTCTATTTGTTTTCAAAGCCTTTCTTCTTCCATGCCAGGGTTTTTTGGTAAAATCAGCTAAACCATATTAGCAGCTCAGGGAGGCAGGAGTTAAGACACACAGAGCCTAAGGCCACATAGTAAGAAAGGTATGCCTCCTCCCTTCTCAGCGGGAATAGTTTTCCAGAACCAGACGGTGCAATGATGAAGCAGATGGTGATGATGAGTGGGGTTTTAGTTTTTATTTTATCTTCTAGAATTAATCAGCATAGCCACCCCACAGAAGCATCCTGTGGTCTGAGAAGTTGGCTTCGCCCAACAGCAAAAACAACCCTGCCACCCCTTGCCCATTGCTCTTGGAGCATTTTGTGTCATTCCACTCGTCTATTAAGAAATCTTTCAGAAATAATTTCCCTAGTCCTACTCTAAAAACAGATCCACAGTTTGGATAGTATTTTCTTGATACCAAATGGAAATGGGGTCAAGTTTAAATGCTACTGTAAAATCGAAGGTAAAATTGCCCTCTAACCCCATTTTACTTTCAGCCTTTTCTGTTGTCTGTTCATAGCCAGCAATTTTAAATTTGTCCTTTTACAGACGCCATACAGCACAGTAGTCTAAAAGGACAAATGTGACACCTGCAGAAAATGCAGCATAATAGCAGATTAAGATGGCACTGTGATTTCTTCACTGCCACTGCCTTTTACATGGACATCTATCCAGCTCTGTGACTTTAGAACTCTCCAGGATTTTAGTATCTAACTTGAAATAATTTAATACCTATTTCTTGAGGAAATACATTCTATGCCTCATTTTAGTTTCACATTCAGTGAGAGGGTATACATGCTTTACAGGACAAAAAATTCAAACCATGACTACTTAGTAAATTATGCATTGTAGTGATTGAAAGACAACAAGCACCAGAGAAAATACATGCTGAAGCCTGATGTATATACTACATTGGGAAGTCTTCAGGCATATGACAAAGAATTTGTGAGTTTTTTCCCCCAATTACAAGAGAACAGAGGATTTGTCAGACATTGATTCTGTAACTTCTACTATCCACTCTACGCCTCCTTCCTCTTGATGATCAGAGGCCCAACATTGTCACCAGTTTCCTCGTTGTGCTTTGTGTGAGAGCCGTCACACAGTGGGAACTGAAAAAGAAAGAATAAACACATGTAAAGTACATCCAGAGTCAGAACTAAGAACCTAGGCTGAAAGTTTATTAGGCATCTTCTCATTAAATCCACTGAAACCACAGACCACAACTTTTATGCAGCATCTCAGGTCTCCCTGAGTTTTGGTTGAACACAAACATTATCCTCATTAGTGCAGAGCAGGCAAGAGGCTTGTTCTAAAAAAGCAGCCACCAAACTCCACTCTCTTTGGTACTCCTGCCTCAGGTGACTGGAACAAAACTACAGCCTGAGCAGACCTTCAGCTGTAACCTACCTGGAGTATCTTACTCTCGACCTTGCCCCACGCTTCCTCAGTGCTGCCCTTAAGAGCAACATCAGTTAAAAGTAATTTGAAGAAATATCTGTTCTATTAAAAAACCCCACCCCAGAACAGGCTGGTCAGAGCAAGAATTACAGGGACTCCTTTAGCCAGCTCTAATTTTGTTTGTTTAGAAGTAATGGGACTCAAAACTGGACATTGCTCAGCTTTTGCCTTTGCAACAGTACTGTTCTCTTGCAGTACCGTCACAGTCAGTATTCAACATTCTACTGATCTCAATGTTCCTACTTCGGTCACAGCCTTTGAAGAACATTAGTACCCTACCACCCATGCTTAGTTAGAATAAAAGATTTCAAAGTAGTGCACAAAACCAATATAATGAAACAATACACAGACCTTTAAAAATAATGCCACCTTGTCTGTAGGGTAGTATTGAGAGGGGAAGGAGAGAGATGAGGTTTCTTCTGGCTTTTCACAGTAATGAAATGTCAAAACCTAAGCTAAAAATGGCATGTAATATTTCTGAATGAAGAAACCTTGAATTCCGAGAATGCTCATGTAAGCTGATTCATTGAGAAATTTTCTCATGCCATCAGTCACTTATGACTCAAAGAACAAGTAGTTACAGATGCTTGGACAAAATCTGAGCAAACAGGAATGTATGTTTCTGGGACACTGATCAGCTTTCAACAGCAGATGTTCCTGGGCCGGTTATTTTTTCATGCAACACCACAGTTCACTGGTCTTCACGGACACAATGACACAGCTTCCATCAGACATTAAAATCTCACGAGCTCCAAGGAGACAACCCAAAGTCCAGCTACAGCAACATCATCACTTCAAGTTTTCAGGCAATAAAAATGGTGGGATTCCTAGGTTCAGATAGCATCCAAACATCTTTAACAGCTACCAACGGTGACTGCTCTGCATTCATCCCACTGGTCAGCTGGTCTGAAAACACTGACTCCCAGAGGCTGGTACACTAGACTCGAGCTTCTCAGGGAAAAACTCCAAACCAAACACCACTTTCCCAAAGCACCCACTTGGTCACCTTGAAGACCAGATACTGCATAGAAGGATATTGGGGCCTGACACAATGTGTTAATCCCTGATTAAAAATAAAGCAGGCTAGCAGCAATAGTGGCCAAAACCCCAGGGGAATTGTACAGTGATCTGGACAGCTCAGCTGATTTCCCTTGCCACTGAACAAATTTGGACTCTCTATCACTATTTCTGCTGATAGTATTCCTCAACCCACAACCTGGGGACTAATACTTCTCTGGAAGACAGAGAGGCTGCGGATCATTATAAAAAGACAGCAAATTTATTTCCCACTCTTCTGACTCACACCTAAAAATGAAGACAAGAAAACAAGTGTTCTAACTTTAACTACAGTTTAAAGACAAAACTCTTGCCTCTACAATGCTAAGTTTGAGCACTGGGTTTTTTCTCTAAACTGGACATTTACAAAGTGCCTGCAGAGCACAACACTGAATAGAAAAGGATCATTTAAGAACCACCCATTTACTGTTAACAGATAATTACATGCCAAGACAAACTTATTTCAAGATACCTCGTGTATTTTTTTAAAACACATACATTCCACAAAGACTTTGGCCAGCACAAAAGCTTTTTAAGTATACTATTTCAGGAAAAAAAAAAACAACCAAACAAAATCAACTTCTCTTTTCTCAAAAGTTACTGTAAAATACTCTGGTATAGTCCAACTGTTTTGTTATTCCGTGTTGAGGAGGAACACCACATGGGGTCAGCTGTAAGTGCATGCACACCATTACTGCAACAGAAACATCCTGTGGTTCCTAATGGTACTGGTTCTACCAACAGCCTCATGCCTCAGGTGAGCCTGAATCTCAAGAGAAGTGCACAGAGTGACACAAAAAGACATTTCTTCTAGCCTTTATATGCACCTATTTAACAAAAACATGGCAGGTGCTTAACGCATTTGAAGTAACTGTAATTTCCTGCATTGAAAGCATGCACATTCTCCATTTTGACACCATATAATTTACAAATTTAAACAGTTTGAGAAATGTAAGAGCCAGATAATGCTAGCATGTAGGAATTAAGTATTTTATTACTGTTTGGCTCTCAAGGCAAGTGGAAAGCAACAAAACTGGAAACTACAATCTTTGAAGTGGAACACATTGACTAAAATACTTATCATTAAGCAGCAGTAAAAGGAAACAAATACCTTCCAAACTTTCCATTTACCTCCTAAATGCCTTTACAAAACTTTTCAGATCAGAATTCTAAGAATGCACTCATTATAGCCTCATCTGCTTTCTAACACAATAGGGCAATATGCTCCTAAACTAACAATATCCCTTAAACATATGCCAAAACATACTTCTTAAGGTTTTTATTTCACATGAAAGAAAGGGTAATAACAAACAACAGCAAACAATTGGCAGAAGCTGCAATGCAACCAGCAGAATCAGATGCTATCTTCCATTTCTATTTAGAAGACTGAATAGGAAGCACAAAGCACAAACACCAGGGTTCAAGTATGGTTTTTTCAATTCAGACTCCGGACAGAATAAAGAAGACAAGGCCACTTCCACAGGACTATTTCAGCATCAAATCATAATGCTGTTTAATCCTTAGCAGTGTTACACTGTAAAACTGAATTCAAGTACAAATGTGTAAGCTCCTGAGTTACCTGCAGGATAATGAAGTCAGATCTGGCAACAGTAAGAAGCCAAAGTTACAGCATCTGGAAATTGCTGAGTTTGGCCTGAGACCAATGTCTAACACTTGAGAACTTGAGTATTCACCTTCCAGGAGAGAGAGCTAAATTTCAAAGTAGTTATCTGGCTCCGAAGGTCTGTATTATTTTAGTCTCCACACACTGGCACCTCCTAAAAAAGCTTTTAAACGTGCACCAGTGGTAAATGGATATGATTAATCATGCAATCTGCTTTCTCTCATTACAAATCCCAGAACTACCATTATAGATGACGTATATATATCTCAGCTACATTAGATGTCACACATCTCCAAGATCAGATTTAAATCTGAGGTACTGTTATTGAAAGGCTCGGTTATCACTAATTTAAGACAATTGAAGCAACCCAACTTCAAATGCAAGCAAGCTGGACCAATATTTAGGCCAGATTTTTAATTGCACGAAAATAGAAGCTTAAAGTATGCCACTGTGATTGCACTGGCATACACTATGTACTACTAGTAAGGTACTTTCTAAGCTTCCAACTTTCTCCAAAAAGAGGTGTTTCAGATCCTCACAGACGGTGTTTCCTGAGCTCCTACTGCCAACAAGTCAACAGTTTTGGATAAGCCTCAGTATTAGCACAGGTAGCACAAAAAATGGTATCTGTCATTCATGATCATGCTCCAGACAGTTGCTCTCTTCAAGAGATCTACTTCAGAGCTACAGAAACATTTTGTCCACTATTAGCACTGATCTGCAGACTTCACTCTGAGCATCAGCACAAATTAGCGTAGTTCTACAGATTAGAATATTGCTACATCTCAGTGCAGAACAGTTTAGGTGAAAAGAGGTTAGTTTGCTCTAAATAAAGGAGTATTAAAATAGTTTTTCTGAAAGATGCATGTACATCAACAACAGAACAGCACTGGATCCATTCATCCTTCTCTTACCTTCTTAGATCTCCAACAACGACAGTACACAGCCTTGTCTCCCAGATCTTCCATATCAAAGGCATGGACTACTTTGGGGTTATCCTTCTGGATATGGGGATTCACCATTGCTTTACAGCATTTGTCCTTAGAGAGAAATTTTTTGTAAGCTAGATATCCAACAGCAGCTGCTCCAGCAGCTAAGGAGACTGCAGCAATCCATTCAGCTAGAATAAAAGAAGAAAAAACAAGAGACTGTTATGGTTTGACCACAACATTTTATTAAAACTACTCAGCAGTAAATGTTTTCATGCTTGCAGCAACACCTCCTTACTTTCCAACACATCTTTTTGTTCTGTAGTAGTAACTCTCTACTTTAGAAAAGTATTTTCCTTTGACAGTCCCCTAGTTAATACGCTCTTTTCTATTGATCAGAGTTCTACTTCACCAAAGTCCTTTCTAGACTTGGCAGAGTTTTCATGGTTGTGTTTTGTTTTTACACTTCTATTTAGCAAACTCCGATATTAACATCAGTAGTCCATTGTTTCAAAGTTCAGCATATTAAACCAGGTGTAAGTACATCCTGTAGCAGCAAAACAACTGTGTTGTTTGTTTCAGTTGCAAGAAAGTCACTAAAGAACAGTCAGCATCAACAACCCAAAAAAAGGTTTCTCTCCCCAAAGGTATGTGCACTGAGTAGCTTTTAATAAAATCCATCTTGTAACTAAAAAACCTAAAAGCAGTTGTTTGGCAACGGGAAAATTATTAAATATACTACCACCATTAACAAAAGTCATCTTAGATTAAATCCCTACTATGGTATAGAAGAAAGAACAAGGATCCAAAAAGATTATATTCAAGAATAATAGCACACATTTATTTTAACTACATTACGTCCTGAATCTCTGCAAGACAACATTCATTAAAAAAAATCCTCCTGCCACCACTTCTCATTCTCACTTTTCCTCCCTTTATTTACCGATACAATTTTTGCAGTCTTTCTTAGTACAATGTCCATTCCTGCAAGAAGTTTTCTATTTTTTTGTGGCTCTACTGTTTTCTCTCTGCTTCATGTAAATATGCTGGACTTTGGCTCAAAGGTTCAGGTTGCAGCACCAGGTCCGGTTGTTTCCTCTCAGAGTAACAAATGGCTGCTCTTTCTTTGCTTTTATCCACCACTTCTACATACGCATGTACTGCAAGTTCTGTTTACAGACAAATAAACAGGAATTTAAGTTTTAGCACATTTACAGAACTTAATAAAATTACAACAGTCTCCAGTTGGGAATTTCTATACTGTCCTATATTTTAACTGGATTTGTAAGATGCCAAGCCAGATGATATCTGTGGAGCAAGAGGCATCACTACGTCCAAGTCTAGGAAGAAACAAAAACCTTTGTTAGCTCTTGCTACTTTCCACGACCAACTGACTTACTGTATTTCCACTATGAGCTTGGACCAAAAGTATCAAGGTTTTCTGTCCCTGTCTCACAAACTTTCCTATAATCTGTATCAGGCCCTTTTCTCAGCGAAAACACTGTGCTAGCTCATAGGCACCACACTGATCCACTGTGTCTGGCTGTAGCAATTTGTGGAATTAGTTGTCTGTACAGTGTCTGTAAGATCAGGGAAGGCAGGCATTCTTTTAGAGTCTTACTAAAGGAGTAAAAGATGCAGAAATCCCTTAGAATTCATTTTCTTAATAAATGACACAGAAGAGACCAACATACACTGAGACCCACCCCCCGCTAATGAGTGACAAACCCTTCCTGTAATAGTAAGGTGATATTAAGATACAGAAAATCATCTTTAACAGGGAAGAATTTAGGGCAGGCATGTTTCCCTGCTCTCCAGTTCCTTAAAACAATAAAAGCATCAGAGACCATGTTTTGAATGCTGTGTTTTATACCCATCCAGTGAGTTCTCACCCTTTATTCCCCAGAGTAATGCATTAATTTTAATAAAGAAGGAAATTAAATTTTAAAAAGGGTTCTATGAAAATCTGCTTTAATTTAGCACAACAGCCCAAACTAATCAAAAGAATAGCTACAGTTTAAATCCAAGACAGCAGCTCTCCCAAGAAAAGCCACTGCAGTACCCCTGCCCTGTCTCACTCGAGCAGGCCTGGGAACACCTCCAGGGAGGAGGTGCTCAGCAAGCTCAGAGACCTGCTGAGTCTGACAACTTTGAAGTGACCTCTGACGAAATGCAGCTACAACCGCAAAACCAAGCGACAGCTCATTCTGTGGCTTTTGGGGAAGCAGCAATTGCAAGGATTGCCCAAGCTGCTACCAATGCACTATCAATGGTCCAAATCTTCACCTACATTTTAAGTGATAAGGGGACAGGGGGACCATATCCATTCCCTTATAAAATCTGAGAAAAACTGACTTTAATGAAGACCACAGATGGTTCCTGTAACTAAAGTAACCTTTAAGATACTGCACCTTAAGGAAGCTGATCTTTACTTGCATCTATCCAAAAGTTCAATACAACTTGGCAAACAAGAAGAGGAAAAAAATTGGTAATGTTTCTGTGACTCACTACGTGCAATGAAGTCTGTACTAAAATCCAGCAGCACATTCAGAAGAGTTGTTTTGCACATCTGCATCCAGCCCAGATCCCTCTGACATCCCTTGGGCCAACTCCTATAACTGTGCACATCAGATCCAGCTCAGCAGGCAGAGATCATGAATTAAATAGTCATCTCATCTTGCAGCGATCCTTTACCTCTTCTCCCAAGGGCCAGAGTCATCCTTCACACACACAGGCAAGTTGTATATATAACAACAGCTTCAGGTATTTTTTTCTTATAATAGAGGAATATCTTTTCTGTATTACCTTTTTTTATCACTTCCCTGGAGTGACTTTGCTTTTCCCCTTTCAGGATGGAAAATTGTATCAACCAATAATGCAATAAATCCAAACATTTAACACAGTCTTATACTTTACATTCTAGAATTGCCTTAATAAATACAATGAAAATTCAGAAGAAATATTTGCACTTTTTCAATACACTCCCTGTTAAATCATCCTACAGGGTTTCAGAGGTATTAGGTTTTGTCTTGTTTCACACATAGATCTGGAAAAGCTGAAACACCCATTTAATCTTTCTAAGTTAACCAAAAAATGCACCTGGAAGAACGCTTTTATTTTTAAATAATCTGAACTGTTTCAAAAGACCTCTGGTGCCAATTCAACAGTTTGCTGCCAAACTCTTAAGGTCATACATGAGGCATCTGTTAACAGAGTGACACTGATGTGGAGTGTCAAGGGGGTTTTATTCTTAAAATAAAAAGCAGCAGGAGGAACTTTTAAGTTATTATTAAAGAACTCCAAATTCTGCTATAAAACCAAATCAAAGTGTTACAAGACAAGACAAAACAGGCCTATGTAACACGGCAGAAAAAAATGGTTTTCTGTTGTTAGCACTAAGCAATGGAAAAAAGTTTGGCTAAAACTCCAGAAAAATTAACACACAAAGGAGAGAAGAGATGACAAGAGAGACAAAAAGAAGGAAACAAATTCAAAGAATGAAGTCCCAGGAGAGCAGGCAGAGCACAGAAGTAAACAAAAAAAATCAGAGATGAGAATGGCAATGAGACACTGATAGGGATATATTCTCCTCTGTAGTCTTTGGACATATCCTAATGAAAGATTTAGATCAAAATTTCTCCTCTCTTCTTTCTCTAAACATCTAGACCATTGCTCTGGATGTTTCCAAATCTACACTACAGAGGGAGTTTTTGGATCTGCTACAGCTTCGAGAGACTTTATCCACAGCAAAACACACATTTAACATCTGCACTGAAAAGTGGACTAAGAAAGTGAAGTGGTCTTGCCTACACCAAGATTCTTTTAAGTACCCAGATCAATTTACATTCTAGCAACTATCAACATTATGAGGGAGAGCTACACCCTGACAAAATTAGTCCAAGATCATCCTAAGAGGCTATATTCAAGTTACCTCTGCTGCTTAGAAAATGTTTAAATTTTAAAACTTATGTTATTCAAAAGCTACAGAGTAATAACGCCAGACATGAAAAACTGTATTTTATGTCTCCAGAAGTGCTTGTAACTTTCGAGCATTTTTCTCCTCATTTTATTGCCAATGAAGAGACTATTACTGTGCAAGATTGTTTATGACAGTCCAGTAGTGTCACTGCCCACAACAAAAAGAATGCTGGAGAAATACATGTCACTCACTTGAGATGACTCAGTGAAGAATCATCCAGGATAACTGGATGCACAAAAAGCCTAACAGGAAAAGCCAAGCAGTGCAGCCGACAAAATCACTTCTACCACTCCACACCATCCACAAAAAATGAGATTATGACTGGCAGGTTTAATTTAACTGAAGACATATAGTAAAGAGGTCATTTGAGGTAAAAAGATCTTTGGATTTCACCAATAAGCAGTAAAAGACAAGTCACCGTGATCAGATCTGTGGTTGGTCACAGCTCTCAAGACAAAAACCATTAGCTGTGTTACTGCCTTCCGAAGGGCACACATGCACAGAAGCAATTAACTCCACCACTGCTACCACGAATTAAATCTCACAAAAATATGCTAAGTTTCTGGCATCTAGTTTTCAGTAGAGAATAAATGATTTTCAAAATTCATCAGCATGAGACACATGCCAGCTGGAGGGAGAACTGTAACCTGCCAATCACAAGGCACTGATCAAGTTTAATCTCTTCAGAAATCACAAAAACCGCATGCTATCTCCTAAAAGGAGCACCCTCCAGACTGGTCCCATCAGTTGCTCCTATGCTTTCCTTAGATAATGAGGATATTTTCGGTTTGTTTAGGATAATATTCTTCTCCCATCGCCACTAAGTTTTTCTGCTTAATTCCTACTGTCTAGGAACTGTTCTAATTCTTGCAAGATGATAAACGACAGCAAGCTGCCGTTGGGAACACAATCTGGATGCAAGTTATTACCAAGTCATCCTCAGGGCTCTGATTATTTTAATAAGCATAGTCTTCCATTACTGTAGCCCATTTTAGACTCATGTCTTTGTCACCATCCTCTGTACCAGCGGCCTCCAGCCTCCTCCACCCCTAAAAAAACCAAACCATCTGCCTGCTAACTTAAGGACAAACCATGAGTAGCTTTGCAAGTGGAAACCAGTCCTGCACGTGAAGCTCATTTTTTAGAGAAAATTAGGTAATTCAGCTCTCTATTCTATCCTCCACCCAGCCCAACTCTTTCATCCTGTCCGGTTGTGCAACAGCATTCAAAACACACAACGCTATCTCAGGCACGATTCAAGTCAATCATTACACAGCACAAATGTCACCGTAACCTCCGCTGTACAGAATCGAGCATTGAGAGCCAGACAAAACCTCTGAAATTTACAGGTTTTCACGCAATTTTCACTCAAACGGGTGGAAAGACAAAAATAAAACAGCTGTGTCCGAAACGGGCTATCCCCACTACAGGCAAAAGCCGGCGGGCGGCCGAAGCACCTGCAAGGCCCCGGCGGGGAGCTCGGCGGCCTCGAGCCCTCGCACAGCAGTGGGGCGGGACGGGGGAAAGGGGAACCCCTCAGGCCGAGCCACCACACCGCGTTCCCCGCTTGCTGACCGCAGTAGAGGTTTTATTGATGAGCGGATCCCACCGGTCGCTTCCAGACCCACCGCATCCCGCGGGGACGGTGAGGGGGGACGCCGCCATCTTGTCCTAGGGGTCCGGCGGGGCACGAGGGACGCCCCCTATCCTGCCCGCGCGCGGTCCCATACCCCTAACCCTGCCTTGCCCCTACGATCAGCTCTCAAGTCGAACTCCCCGCCAGCCATACCCCTCACGGCGCTGTTCTGTCCCAGCCCCATCGCTCCCGCTCCCACTCCGCACCGCGCACGCGCCACGGCCCAAGATGGCCGCGGGGCCGCCCCTTAAAGGCCTCTCTCCAAGAAAAGAGTTAAGGGTAGACGTGGAGGTTACGGGATATTCCAGATGGTACTGCGGAGGGGCGTCACTGAACCGACACGCGGCACAGAGCTCTCAGGGAAGCCTCTGCAGCTGTAAAATGGTTGTTAGCCACCGCTGTGCAGACACTAGCTTGGCGCGGCCCCGCCGTTCTCTTCTCCTTGCGGTGCTGTCAGTCCCCAACAACTCTGCAAAACGCTTAGGACAGATCGCTGTATGAGCCTTCTCCTGTGTAGTTGTGGAAAGATGAAGCTGAAAAGTGATATCCTCCAAGTGACAGTCACCTCGATCCTCATAAGCTTGGGTATTGATGTGAGAATTACCATTCTTTACCTTAAAAAAGTATTATGGAAATTCTATACCTGATTAAGGACTCGCTACTCTGAGACCTCGTTTATGGCTGGACTTGATAGGAAAGATGTGTGCTTATGACTTTACGAATATGGGTGAGGGTATGGATGTTAGTATCTTTGAAATACGTCTTAATGTCTCTACCAACTCTAAGCCGCAGGTTTGTTACAGAGCCCACACAGTTTGACTCCTGAAACAGACAAATGGGTCAGCACAAGCCTGAGTTTCTGAGCTTTGGGGGAAAAATTACCTATTCCAGGGAGGAATATGTGGTAGGCGGTTCGGGAAGGCTGCGCCTTCCTAGTACCTCAGCCGATGGGTGTGATAATTGATAAAAGATTCGTGTTAATCACAAAAGCATTGGGGTTTGTATAAACCAAAATACTAAGCTCTGAAGTGAAGCATGGACACTAGATAAAGGAAATTATATGATAAAATCATTCTGTTTAAAATCACCTTGTTATGTTATATTGTGTTGTATTATGTTACATTATGTTATATTATGTTATGTTTTCCAAATAAGTTGTATCGGCTACCAGCTTGCAAAAGCAGACTTCCCAATAGCCCCTCCTGCCTTTGTCTGATCAATCCTGCTTATCTCAAGGACCAGACTCCCAGAACTTCTCTGGTGGTTATCTACAGGGACCAGATGGCTATCTGTGACTGATTATCGCCCGGAGGCTTTGTGAATTTGTGTAAGGGTGTTTATTCAACCACCACTGCTTATGACAACAAAAACCCCAAAATTATTGATTATAACAAGAAACCACAGTATAAGAAGAGGCTGCAAACCAAGGTTCGGTGGGGAGTGGAGTGGGCGGTGAGTCCTCATGTTCCCCAGTGTGCTGCTTGCTCTTTCTATATCAAATAAAACAATCTAAATTTTGCTGAATATCGAGACTTTTGTCTCTCATTTATAACAACAGGGAAAGGCAGACGGCAACATACAGCCAGGAGTTCAGGATAAAAGGAGGCTGAGGCCTCCAAAACCTTGAGAGAGAAAACCCTGTGTGTATGTGCCCCAGTGGACTCTTCCTTTATTCGAATAAAGTCGCAGGATTTCTCTGTCTCCTTTACGGACCCTGGCTTTTCATAGCATCGTTTTTCCGCACAAGATGGGCACTTCTCTGGATCTTTCCACCATCTGGGAATGGCACACTACAAGGGGAGCTGGAGGTGCACCTCACTTAGTTTCAGTGATTAGCTCACTTCAACACTGGCAGACACTAGCCAATTTATTGGGTTCCCGAGACTGTCCGGGAGACAGATGAGTGACGGACAGAGAAATTCCATGAAGAGTCCACAGGAAAGGACCACTGAAAATCTCACCAGTGAGTTCAGTGGGATTTTCAGGGAGTGGAACGTGGCAGAACGCCCAGAGGGGGCAGTAAAAGGAAGTCAAGAAAAGGTCTCAATCACAGGGATGACGATCTCGAAATATCTCTGAAGGCTCCTTTGGGAGAATGTTGAGATGGTTTGCACATTTTCCCAGAGGTAGTAAACGACGTGGACGCCCAGAGAGAGCAGTAAGGGAAAGTCGAGAAGCCGTCTCAGCAACAGGGGACTGATGGTGTTGGTTTGGGAAAGGATTGGTTAAAGGAGAGTGTGGAGGAATATGTTTAAGGCAAATAGTAATGGGAGACAATGTGATAAGGAAAGAAAAGAGAAACAGTGAGGATATTCGCCACTGTTACAAGTACATATTATATTATTGGCTTTTCGCAAATACTGCGAAAAAAAATGAATGCTATATGTATAATATGGGGAAACTCTGCTGAATGAATATAGTTTCTTTTAGTTCTGCTATTAACAAAACTGAGAAATAGTAGTGTGATAAATACATTTTTTGGACTATAACATGGTGATGTAAAAAGCTTTTGTTCATGAAACTAACTCAGAGAATGGTAAAAAGATAATCAGGAAATTCTTCCCATTCTTGGATTATCCTATCTGGATGATGACAGAGGTGATGAACACCAAAACTCCGGTAAAAGGATTAATTGATCTCCATTATCAGGGAAGGCACTGGCAATAAGGAGCCACAAGGAAAAAAAAAAAAAAAGTAAAAATGTTGATTTACTGTTTGGGGGGGTAATTTTGATTTATGCATTAAGGCCTATGAATATGCAACAGGTTGATGCATTTAACGAAGTGCTCTCTGAGTTAAGGTGTGCTCTTGACGGAATACCAAGCACCGGCCGTTTTGCTTTATTGCCTCTTGTATTTTTTTTTTTTTTTTTTAATCTACCAGGAAACTGAACCCCGTTTTTCACAGCCGTCTTATCTGCAAAATCTGCAACCTAATACAGGGCCGGCTGCAGGTCCTTTGTATTCCGGGCTTTCACGATAAGGAAAACAGGGAGGTATTGTTCCTACACGCCCCACCCTTCCTCGGGTCATTATGAAGCCAGGATGGAGGATCTGGGTTTGTCCACTTACTATTCAGGATTTAGGGGGATTTCTCTATGGTGGGTGGCGAGAGCACGTGTGAAAGCGCAGGACTGGCGGCACGGGCTGGGGCTATGGGATAGCCGTGGTCTCAGCGCCGGGCGGTGTCTGATGACGTCACCCCGCGGGCAGGGGCTGCAGTGGCTCCCCGCCCCTATGAAGATGCGGGATGTCTTGTCGGTCTTTCCGTCCCTCTTATACTGCCGGCTATACCTGCCCGCCGAGCTGCGCCAGCTCCTGGTGTTTTAAAGAGTTTGTGGTGCTGGGAGACCGGCCCGGGGACCTGGACAGGTCTGCTGCTGGGTGCATCTGGACAATGCGGCAGGACAGGGACGGGCTTTGGTGTACGGTGTAAACACAATCTGTCACCAAAGCCTGGCCTGATATTAGAGCGGATTTTGTTTGGGTCAGTGGAGACACGAGTGATTTTGCAGAAAGTTCGCCTAGATAGATAGAAGAAGGGATGAGGAAAAGGTAAAGGTAGCATTAGAAATGGATTGTTAAGGGTATTAGTCTCCTGTTCCACTAGGGGCTCACCCCACTGGAGCTCTTGATAACGTGCAGAGTGGGTCTGAACTGAGAAGTGTGTTTCCTGGTAGACACGGGTGCCTCAGCCTGCTTGGAATTTTATGCCAAAGTGGAGACAATGGTCCAAATGTTCTTTTGGTTATTCAGGAAGTAAGTGGGAAAGATGAACACGCGCATTTTATTCAACCACTATTGGTGAATATGGGGGATGGGTTTGAAATGCATAAGTTTGTTTGTTCCTAGTTATGTCTGTGGCTTGCTAGTGAAAGGAATAAGATGAATGTGTCTTTACAAACAGACCGTGGGAATCTGCTTGCAAATAGGACTAGGAACTCACAAATAAGGAAGTAACTAAAGAAACTATTACTTCTAGAAAATGTTACTAATCAACACAGACTGTTGCTCAGACAAGCCTGTGTTAAATTCCTGAACCTAGAGAAAAAGAACAAAGACTTCATAGAATTACGAATAGGTTTCTTTCTTTCTTTCTTTCATATAATAAAAGAGGGAGCGCATGTTAAAGTCGGGCATAGAGTAGGTGATTCGGGAAGTCTGTACCTTCCAAATACCTCAGCCAATGGGGAAAAGGAAGAGGCTGATGCGGCCAGGAACTTAGAATAAAAAGGAGGCTGCGTCCCCCAACAACTTGAGAGTTGTTAGGAAATGCCCATAGGCTCTCCCTTTTTTATAAAGTTACAGGACTCCTCTGTCTGCTCTTTGACATAAACCTCTGACATTCTGGATGACTTTTCCTGACACTAGGAAGGATTTGATGACTGAGTTGGGTTAGTGTTGTGAGGGGTGATGGGGAGGTTAGCGCTTTTGTGACACTGTGTAAATTATCTGATAAAGCTTATGCTAAAGTGAACCCAGAAATGTGGGCACTCCCAGGGAAATATGGAAAACTGAATATAGAGCCTCTCCAAGTGACTGAAGGAACCAGGACAAGTGGTGTCTAAAAAGCAACACACTATTTTAAGGGAGGGATGGAAGGGATTGCAGACTTGCTGAGTAGCTATTAATGGCAGGTCTTTTGGAGCCATGTATGTTTCCCCATAACACTCCTATCCTGCCAGTTATGAAATCAGATGGAACCTATAGAGTATGTCAGGAAAATTAATCCACAAACACCAGAGGTTTATGTCCAAAAAGGAGACAGAGGAGTCCTTTTTGCTTTATTCGAATAAAGGGAGAGGCCATGAGACATTCCCCTGGGATCTCTCAAACTTTCAGAGGACGAAACCTCCTTTTATCCTGTTTTCCCAGCCGCATTTCCCTCTCTCTTTCCCCATTGGCTGAGGTACTTGAGAGGCACAGACTTCCCGGAACGCCTGATACCTGAAATTCCCCTCTAATGTATAAAACTCCCTTTTAATTTTTAATTCTTATAGAATTCATAGTTTTCCCCCGTTGCTTCTTTCATTTTTCGATATCCAATTTCATTTATCAGCATTTTGTTTGTAAAGGCAAATAACTTTTTCCATTCATCAATCAGTGGAATCCATCCCATTGTTTCTTTTATCTCTCAGTGCTAGTCTTATCTACAAGCAGATCCACAGCTCGTTTGTAAAGAGAAATTCGACATTCCTCTCAAGTAGGTGCCGGACCTGAGAATA